AAAAAAAAATATTCTGTGAGAAGAAAAATTAATTCTTTAATATTTGGTATAATGTTATCATTACAATAGAAAATTTGACTAGCAGAAGTTAGGCAAATTGCTAACTTAAAAATTAATCTTTTAATGTCAATGGATTATTTTTATTAGAGTCATCACTTAAAAAAAAAAAGATTGGGGCGCCTGGGTGTCTCAGTCGGTTAAGCGTCTGCCTTCAGCTCAGGTCATGATCCCAGGGTCCTGGGATCGAGTCCCGCATCGGGCTCCCTGCTCTGTGGGGAGCCTGCTTCTCCCTCTCCTCCCCACTTGTGCTCTCTCTCTCACTATCTCTGTCTCTCTCTCTCAAATAAATAAAATCTAAAAAAAAAAAAAATTAAAAAAAAAAACACTGCCAAATAATTTTGATTGTTTCTTATATTTACTGCTTTTTTAAAAAGGTTTCAATCTTTTTATTTTAACAATTATCTTTTCCTTTTGATTTTAAACAGTCACTGTGTTCCACAATTTTTTCAGTTTACCCCTCTGTTCGTTCAGCATTGTCTAAACACTACCATCCCCTCCCTCATTTGATTTCCATCATGTCTCCCCAGAAAAGGAGAAGCCAGGATTTAGTGACAAGATGCCTCAAAACAGTTATCTCCTTACTTGTGCAGCCAGAATGATAGTGGGATAAGATACTAGGACCCTAAAAATCTCGTTGCACTCACTAGTAAGCCTAATAAGCATGGCCTCAGTTTCTCCATTTGCAAAGTCAGAATAGTTTTGTATGATCTCTAATGGCCCCAAATCTGTAAAATACTAAGTATAAAAAAATAACTACCTTAAAGACTGTTAAATAACAAAAGTCAAGCAAGTAAATTTGAAGTTCCAATTAGATTTATTAAATGATTCATGAATCAGGCAGCACCTCAACTAGCGAGTAGAAAGGAGCTCCAAGGATTTGGAAGGTTTTTATAGAGGGAGAGTCATTGGGGCAAGAAAGTTATTAGCAAAAGAAAAGGATTGTTCTAGGTGAGGCTGCTTTCTAGGGAAAAGCAAGGTGTCATCACGTAGATGATCTCATCTTTTTAGGGGGATGGAAATGGTCTAAGTGGTAGACTCACTGGTGCAGACTGAAAAATTCCTAGCTGATCTTTTTAAGACTAAATTTCTGGGGGATGTTGAAACTGCAATTAGATTACGTATTATACACCAGTTTGGGAACTTGGTCCAAGTGACATTTGGGACCTGTGGTTGGTTGGTTTGTTTAACAAGAAAAATCATTAACAAATTAAATCAATGTTGATGCAGTACAGTAAAACAAAGTTGGTTAAAGAAACAATTCCTTGACTTTCAGAATTAGCTATTCTTACTCAGCCACTTTTACTATCTCAGTATTTCTTTAAACTTGTTTATTTGGTAATTATTAGAGTGCTTTGAAAATAAACTTGACAGTCATGAAATACTTATTTTTATATGTTAAAATGTAATTTCTCTTATTTTTTAAATCAAATTAGAGTCTTCCAAGAGCTAAAATAGTTCTATACCCTTTTGAAAACTAAATTGTATCTTTGAATCCCCTACAACTTATTTGCTATAATAAGAGTGGTCTGAAAGAATCACCATGGCTTTCAGAATAACCAACTTTGCACCAGTGAGAATCTCTAATTTTTGTTGTATTTATCAACTCTGTATGAGGATATACTTATTAAAATTATATTCTATTTGCATTGTAATTTTCCTAAAGATATTATCCTTAGCTTTAAAACATAAAAGAATCACAATCTTTGTTAACTGCAATATTGAGTAGATTTCTCCCATCACAGGACAAGACAGATTAAGTTCTTGATGAAACATCTTCTGAACTAGGCTATTTCTAGGAAATTAAGCAAACTCTAAGCCATCCTCCAGAAATCTTTACTTGATCTAGAATCCCAAAAACTTCCAAATGAAACTAGGAAAACACCTTTCCTTCATAAGGAATCCTCCAGATCCTTAGAAATTACATACACAAAGGCCTTTGGTGTAGAGTGGGCAGCCAGTGGGTAGCCAGAGGCAGGAACTAATTTTAAGAAAACTATATGATGATTGAATTTGCAACTTGGCTATGGCCTGACAGATGATGATGATGATGATGATGATGATGATGATGATGATGATGATGATGAATACCATTAGCACTGGAAGAGGAATTCAAAACTCTGATTATCCTCAAATACTGAAAAGGGATATCTCCTCTGATCACTTTCCTCAGAAATACTCCTTGAAAATTCTTCTCCCCTCCATTGAACCCATGTCCTCTTTGGTAGTAATTTAAGACTTCTTTTTCCTTCTCAAATTAATATATGTACAGGAGGAAACGAACACTTACCAGTCAAGATTTATTTTTGTTATACTTTACAAGGAAGACATAAAGAAACAGAATCTCAATATATTTCCTCCAAGGATAATAAACTGTACCTCACTGTTGTTGTTTAACAACTTAAAAAATAAAGGATGTTTTAAATGGGGGGTGGCACTTCTTATCAATAACAAATTTCATTTGATAAAGATAAATTAAGCAATACATGCATGCAAACTAGCAAAAATAAAGAGAGAGAGAGAGAGGAACAATTTATTGATGAAATGAACTAATACAAAATATATAAATTGCCCTTGCATTTGGAACTGAGATTATAAATTATTTTCATAGTCAACTAAGGTGTGATTAACATTTAAGTACAAAGGTTATTTAACATTTAAACACAAAGGTTTCTCCATGAATTACTTTGGATTTATAGAATCCCTCTTACCAGCATTTCTTTTGAAGCTTCACTTTATGAAAGATGAGATGTTCAAGCACCTTATTCAGCTGAGGACTATTCTTCCGAACACATGACCAGGCAGCAACACAGTGCCAGAGCAGGTGGTTAACTTCATATCCTCCCTGATTAAATTGCAAATGTTCCTGGAATTAAAACATAAAAATATGTCTGGAAAAGAGTTATCTGACTTGAATAAACATGAAAATGAATTTCCTGGGAAATTTTAAATATTCAAATGAAAATGCATTATTTTCTTAAACTTCATGTTACACCAAAAAGAGCAATTTACTTAAGTATATTTTTGTAAATATATATAGTGTGGGGGAGGAAAAATAATTTTCTATCTACCCTTCCAGGTTCTTGGCTGAGACCTTTGCACCCCCTGTAATAAAAAGACAGATTAATAGGAGAAAACCAAACAGAAGTTTAATAACATGTATACCTCCTGTACACATGGGAGAAACCCAGGAATACTTTTCAAAATGGCCCAAGCCACTACCTTATATAACATCTCTAGCTAAAGACAAAACAGGAGGATGGGCAGTTATGGATGGTTAACAGGAAAAGCCTAGTAAACAAGGGTAAGGTTGATATGCAGATTTGTCATTGCCTTCTCCACTGATAAGGGTTTCTAGAGATTTAGAATCATTCTTCTCTTCCTAGTAGAGAGGGAGACACCCATACAAATGGAGACTTCTCTTAAAATGTAAATATCTCTTACAAAAAGGGTAACTTCTACTCAGTTTTCACAGCTTCTCCTGTGTCTGTGATTTCTTAAAAATAACCAGCCTAAAATAATCCTTATGCCAAAGAGTCACATTTGGGGGCAGCAAATTTTGCTTCCCTTCAATCATTAACCTGAACCTAATGTCTTAATTGCTTTTCACATGGGTCCCTTGTGTTCAATGACATCAGTTCCACACTATGACAAAAATTCTATATCCTCTACAGGACAATTATTAGAACAATGTGCTTCTTAGACCCTATATGACTTCGTTCTTCCTGACACCCAAGGAGGAGAGGACAGGGAAAAGTTTGAACAATGATCAAACAGCAAATTAGGTTTTAAAATGTGGATTCCCACTTTAAGGGCAAATATACATGCCTAGCTGGACATGGTCAATGTCTGCTAAGTAACTATTTTAAAAGTCTACAAATTCAGGGAAAAAAATGGGCTGTTATCTGTTTGTTTTTTTCTTGAAATGCTTCCTAACAGTTTCATAGAATTAACTGATCTACTAAAGTAACTGGTATAAAGAAACCTGATTTTATTGTTAGACAGTGATAACACAGCACTCTCATTGAATTTTTTCCAACAATACAGATTCAAATACACATCTTATGATATGTACTTAATATTTCATTCTTTTATGCTCAAAAGAAACCCTTAAAGAGACTCCAAAAGGCTTTATAATTCTCATTTCTTATACAAACCACATCAGATCTACAATTTAAAGATAATTGTCATGTTAAGTATTCTTGAGTTGCAAGGCCAGAAATTCATATATAAATTTCAAACTAAGGTATATTAAGTTTCTAGTAAACTGTTTAGTTAAGTCCCACAGATGTGTATTGATCTATTTTTATGTTGGGAACTCAGATGCTGGAGATAAAAGTCATGAGTAAGATAAAGTCTCTGCACAAGGCTACTGACTGTGGGGAATAATCACTCAGAAAGGCAAATGAAAACAAGCCAATGTTTAGAATGTTAGAATATTTCATAGAAAAGCTTAATTTTAAAATAATGTAAGACAGGGGCACCTGGGTGGCTCAGTCGGTTAAGCTCCAACTCTTGATTTTGGCTCAGGTCATGATCTCAGCGTTGTGAGATAAAGCCCTGAGACAGGCTCCATGCTCAGCACAGAGTCTACTTGTCCCTCTCCTCCTCCTGCTTGCACATCCTGCCTCCCTGCCCCACTCTCAAATAAATAAATAAAATCTAAAAAAAAAAGTTGAGAGGGCTCTTTTAACACAGTTTGAAAAACACTGAGCAAGGTATTAAATGACTCCCAGAGAACTTTTTCTTTTTACCCCCTTACTTCCCTCCCTCTTTCCTTCCTCTCTTCCTTCTTCCCTTTTTTTCTTGGCTTTATGACCACTTCCTATAGTTCCTTCATCTCCATGCCTTGCTGCCCAGCTTTGGATTATGCTCCTTTGCAAACTGGACCCTGTACACAGAGACCAAACAGAGATTAAAGAGGGAGACAGACCACTCCAGATTGGTAGGTGATAGGTCTAATAAGCCAGGGAACCTATTTAGGAGGATTATCTTAGGTGGCTGCAAGACAAGCAAATCTCTGCACCCACCTGAATCTTAAGGTTTATAGGAAGCCTTAACTGGGTTGTCACTTATACCACCCAGATGGTCTCAAGAACACATTGATCTCTCAAGGCTACATCCTTGAAATGGCTCCAGCTGTGGGAACAGTGAGCAGAACATGCATTCCAGGAAGGAGCCTCAGATTGCCCAGGTCCAGCTCATGGGAGAAACCAGTGGCCACATCCTCTCAATTACGTTCTCCAACAAGCTATCAGTGCAGTTTGTACAATACCTATTTTGAGAAGTCCACCTAAAAAAGTGCTATTAATCTAGTGTTGGCTGAAATTTCAGATAACCACATCAGCTTGAATTTTATGCAAATTTGAGTACACAAGCTCTGAATATCAGACCAGACTCTCTTTTATAACAGTAATGAGCTTTGAAGAATGGGCTGTATTTTGGATGTTCAGAGATAGCTTTTTGAGTTTCATCCTTGTTTTTAGTCATTTTGGGGATGGTTGACAATGCCATGAAAGGACCTCTTAACACAAATGTGCTACTTAGATGATAGGACATGAATCATAGGATAATGCTTCTAATTTTAAAGAACCTGTGTCTCAGTCTAACCCTAGTAACCATGTACAATTGCAGTATAGCACAAAATGTCCCAAATTTAGATAATGTCTTTGGCTTCCCAAGTACTTAAAGCATTAGAGGATGAGGTTGCTAATCACAATTGAATGTAAACTCTGTGTGTTTCCTAGTTTTCAGAAAACTATTTGTACTTTAGGACAGATGCAGCTATCTAGTAAAGGGTCTACTGCATTTCAGTTGAGTTTAATCTACTATCTCCAAAAAACTATGTTGTTACTATCATGTGACAACTGTACTCAGCAAATTGAGTTCTGCTAGTGAGCAACAGACAGAGTGGAAAACTCAATCCAGTGTTCTGGCTCTGAAAGCCACAGAGCTAATTAAAGTGCACCATTTGTCAAAGTCAATGGAAACCTTGCGTCTGGATCAGCTTTAAATGATATTAAAAGAAGAAATGGGTTCTAGCAGCTGGGAAAGGAAATTTCCTATTCTTAAATAGAACCAACACCTATATTGTGTGTATCCTAACATGTATATCCTACAGAATTCTTTATTTTTTCAGCAATTTTATGGCAGCACTTGGAAAACAAATTAAATGCTTATGTTTTTACTCCAACGTGGATAAATATATTAAAAACAAAATATTTTGCAGTGGCCAAAATATGCTGTCATGGACCTTTGAGCATTATTGGAAAAGGAGGGCTGTAAGAATAAATCCTCAAATCCTCTACTATGGCATGTCAATAACAAAGAAAGGAGGGGGATGAATACAGATGTATTGTTTATATTCCCATTTTCCTCTCTGATTCCTCCTGTCTTCTCCCAGTAGGTGAGAGAGATGGATATTGAATGGGTAAGTACTCAACTGAACGGGAGAGCCTGGCTTAGACGAAGCTATACTGAAGAAACTGGGCTGAAACTGGGGAACAATGTTCAAACATGTAATCAAGCACTGAATTAGTTAGCTGAACCAGAAATTTTAGTAGCACTGTGGCTACACTACCTTTCAAATTCTTTATATTGTGTGGGAATGAGAGGAGAAAAAGGACAGCAATAAATCTGATAGGCTAAAATCTGTTATAATCCCCTCACAGAATCAGAGGTATAGAGCTGAAATAGAACTTAGAAAAGATTGAAACTATGCTCTTTGTTCTTTGTGGAAAAAGGCACAGAGACTTAGTGACTTGTCCCACTCTAAGCAGAAACATTCTCTTTTTTTTTAGATTTTTAAAAATTTCTTTATTTGAGAGAGAGAGCT